GAATGGTACTGTGTGACAACCCCTTGTCCAGACCCTCCTGCAGGAAATCCAGTAACTGCAGAAAAACAGCGGAAGTAGGAGCGATGTGATTCATGGTACACCATCTGACAAACCCAGCCCAGGTGGCGTAGATTCTGATGGTCTCCTGGCTGCCTGGATAGTCCATATGACCTTGTCAGAATACTTGTCCTTCCTCAGGTGGACCCCCTCAAGTGCCAGGCAGTCAGTTGGAGCTACTGTGACTCCAGGTGTTCCAAGACCCCCTGACTGAGAGACATCCTCTCCGGAGGGATTCTCCAGGGCCGTGATGCAGACAGACTGACTTAAGTCTGCAAACCACGAACTCCTGGGCCAATGAGGGGCGACCAGGAGAACCTCTGCCTCCTCCAAAATCACTTTCTGTATCACCCCCCGGTATTAGGAGAGGAGGAGGGAATGCGTATAGGAGACCGGGAAGCCACGCGTAGCAGAGTGTTGGTCCCCTCTGCTCCTTGAGTTGGAAACCTTGTAAAGAAGCGAGGAAGTTGGAAATTTGTCTGTGAGGCAAACAGGTCTACAGTCGGCTGCCTGAACCTGTCTCAAATGTCCCGGAAAATCTGCCTGAGGCATGCAAAGTTGCATCCACAGAGAATTGAGTTGCTGCAATGATCTTATTAAGGTCTTGATGCAAGCAAGCCTCCTGGGGAGCTACCCTTGATTGAAGTTGGTGGAGCCAAATGAAGGAGGTGCAGTTAAAGAACTATGCCTCTGTAGGAGCACTAATTGCCCAGGCTGCGGCCTGATGGGTTTTCCTTAAAATCAATTTGGATTTTTTGTCCTTCGCCCTGAAGCCATTGGCAATATCTCCTGCCAAATATGGTGAAGGGGAAGACAGGGCCAGAATGGGACCGTCCACTGATGGCAGTTGCAAAGCCTGGGACAAGTTTGGTGCCATGCCATAGAACCTTTTGTTGTTCCCACTGGGAGTGGGGAGCAATGCTGGGCTTGTCCATTATTTCTGGGCAACATCCAGAAACAATTGGGGAGCCGGAATGAACTGCTGCTCTGCTATGGGCTCAGAAAACAGACCTTGACTATGGTCCAGGCAGGGCGCCCCCCGGCTCCGTTGCAGGTAAATCCTTTGATAAGTGGGCTGTAGTCTTTCCTTTATGCAGCCCCAGAGGAAACAGTCCTGTAAAGGCTGGGGTGTCAGGGATATCCCCTCATCGTCAGAGAGGTCTAGGTCTCTGGGATTCCACACCCAAGAAGGAGTCATCACTATCTATGGAATGACCGGGAGATTGATATGGGAGCTCATTTAAATTCATAGTAAGCGAAACCTGTCACAAGTGAGCAGATGATTCTGAAACCAGTGAAGCAGGACGCTGCTGGTTTAATCCAGCTGCAATGCCCTTAGTTATTGCCTGAGAAATTAATTGTTTCAAGTTATCAGGCAAATCTGACAGGTGGGCATCAGCTGAAGGCAAACCAGTTGCTGGGGGCATGTGAGAGGCCCCTGGGGCATAAGCCCTGGCATAAGTGGGCTGAGACCCTGCTTCTGCTATTTGGCAAGCAAATGGATCATTCTCTGGTTCCCTGTCCCTGTTAACCAGCAAGGCTGAAGATGAGAATAACTTGCCAGTTCCCTCTGGTGACAAAGCCTGAGGAGCCGAAGGAGAGTGATTTGCCTGTTCTGAAACAAAAGGGCAGGAAACAGAGGGCTCAATTGAGTGAGTCAGTTTCCCAAATTTGACTGTTGTTTCTCAGCTATGGAGACCTGCTTTTCCAGAGTTCTCTGCCTCTGTTCCCTGTCCTTTAACTCTGCCTTTGAGATCTGCTTGTCTTTCCTTTCCCTGGAAGATTTGCAGGTACCTTTGTGCTCACTGAGGCTTCAGCACTCTGTTTGGAAGCCTTTGCAAGGCGCCCCTCCCTCACCCTGGAGCGATCCGCTATTTTAACTGTGGGAACAGTTAATGCAGGAGTCTGTGGATGATGGACGTTAAGCTGTGCCCCCCAGGAATGGGTAATGCCCAGGTATAAGAGGGCAGAGACCCTTGTCTTCAATCACAGTCTCAGGGCAGGGAGTGTGGTAGCGGCAGTGCTGGAGAGCCTCCGGATTAGTCAGCATACTTGCGAGCATTCTAGGCATTCCTAGGGCGAACCTAGGGGTAGCCAGCACCCAACGCTGCTTCTTCACCCTGGGAAGACCAGGGACTGGCGGCCCACCATGGTAGCTCCACGCACCGCTGTGCAATATTGTTCCACAATAGGGATGGATCTACAGTTTCTTCCTATTTAACTTAAGTAAATAACTTAAACTTGTTTAATCATTGAACCCAAAAGAACTTTAAATAAGTAGCCGTTTCCATATACAATGGGATGGGATGTTTTGTCTTGAGATTGATATTGTTATTTAATTTGTGGTGTTTTCTCCCAGTATGGCCATAAAAAAATCCCAACAACTTCTGATTACAAAATTAATTATAATTCTTGTAAACTGTTCACAAGAATTGTGAACAAGTCAAAGGCTGTAGAAAATACAAATAATGAACAATTGTAAAACCAAATGCCTTACCTTCATTCATGTAAAACCAAAGTCATATTTCTACTGTTTCCTCAGATAACATCTCAGCATAGTTGAAACATCTGTTTTTATAAACATATTTATAAAACCTCATTCCAAAGCCCAGGTTACATTTGTATGTTGACACAATAGTACAAAACAGATCTGTGTGACAAAGCATAAGCCAAGATGGTCAGTTTTTGGCTGCAATCGCATAGCTCTCCTACAAATAGATAGTGCAGATTTGCTCACTTCATTGGATTGGGTTAGTCCTTACGAGAACAGAGTTAGGGCATAACTTCTCCAATCAGATCGTGAACTTTCTCCATATTGAAGGAGAGTTTTTTAAAAGCATTCTTATAATTTCCTCTTTGGTGTGTAACTCTAATTGTAAAACTAAAAACTAAATCTTTTAAATAGTAAATCGAATCTTCAGAAAATAATTTATTATCACCTTAATTGTGAGATCCGTTAGCTCTGGGCCTAATTTAATTAGAATGTAGGGGCAAAGATTGAAGAAACAAAAGGTAACCCAAATCATTTCAAACACCTTGTAAGTATTATAATTAACTTCCTAGTTAGAATCCAGAATAGCTGGACAAACAATTGCCAATTTGATCTATTAATCTCATATTTTCTGTTGTTGATCTACAAATTTTACAAAGGTATTTATCAACTATTTTGGTTCATATCTGAATCCTAGCAAAGGCAGAGGTTTTCATCACTGCCCTTACAACTTTAGTGAAGTTCTCCAAATGGATGATCTCCACATGGACTTTAATCCAGATTTAAATGATTTATTTATTGGTTGATTTCAACATTTGTATATTGTAACTGTCCATCTTAAATCAACTCTGGGTGGCTTCCAACCAATAAAACAATACAGGTAGTCCTCAACTTACAACAGTTTATTTAGTGACCATTCAAAATCACAATGGCACTGAAAAAAGTGACATGTTTTCTACAGTTATGACAGTTATAGCATCCCTATGATGACATAATCAAAATTCAGAGGCCCGTGGTGCCTCTGGCAACCAAAACAGGGCGTGAGGGGCCATGTGAGGCCCCCTGCACCCGTTCTCGACCTGACAGCCTCCTGCAGCATTATGCCAGCCAAAACAGCCCTGTTTTGGCCGGCAGGGTGCTGCAGGAGGCGTCCGTCCTGTCTCACCTCTACCCCCCAGCTGACCTGTGGAGGAGAACTATAATGCTGATCAGGCCCTCAAAGAAATCCAGTTTGACACTCCTGCTGTAGAGCATAAAGATACAGTTGCATTTTTGAAAACTACAAGATGGATAGGAAAATAAAATTCTGTTAAGAAGTACAAGACAAAAATAAAAAACTAACAGAGGTAGAAATAAAAACTGATACATTACAGAATGGACTTGGGCATTTGGCAGTATTTTTGGAATTAGTTTGACATATGGTATAATGATAGGGTCTTATTCCTTAAATAAAAACTACCTACAAACAGGTATTCTTTGACTTACAGCAGCAACTGGGACTGCAGGGATTGCTGTCAGTAAGTGATGTGGTCATAAAGCACAGCTGCAGTGTTTAGTGACAACAATCCCTGCAGTCTCAGTTGCCGTTGTAACTGATTATCAGATTTGTTAAGCGAGGCAACCCTCTCAGGCTTCCTACAACCAAAGTCAGTGGAGAAGCTGGTGGGAAGTTAAGAGTCCCAGGTCTGCAGGCAAATAAATGGTTACTACTGGGTGGGAGAGGGAGTGAAGTTGGGCGGGAGTGTGTGCAAGAGGTGCGGTGCAAAGGTGTGCACAAGAGAAGCTGAGAGAGTACACGAGAGCTGTGGGTCGGGTGTGCAACTAGGTTGGGGAAGGTGTACAAGGGGCATCCCACAGGTTTGGAAGGTGCAGGTTGGGTATGTGTGCAGGGATGTGCAAGTGGCTGGCACACGCACAGAGGGACTGGTGTGTGTGTCTGGAGAGGGAATAGACATGCAACCTTCCCTGCTGGTTTCCATATCCATATTGCCTTTCTGAGGAAGCCAACAGTGGAAAGTTGCAAATGGAGATCAGGCAATGGGATGTTGGGATGGCCAGAATTCTGAGAATCGGTTGTTAGCCATCATTTGTTCAACGCTATTGTAACGATCACTGAACAAATGGTCATAGGTCAAGAACTATGTTACCTGTTACAAGCTCAAGCATAAAGCATCTGTCTAATAGCAATAAGAAAACCATGTGAACATATACTTAAGTTTTCACTAAACAAATGTCTTAAAATCTGATTGGTGCTTGATATTCTGAACTGCTAGATATTTTTTCTGTTTGACTACAGTTAGATTGCCAACACTTCTGAAAGTATGTATTCAAGCATCATTTGTGATGCTTTCGGTGTTTCCAAAAACACAAAGATTTATTGAAGTTAAAAAGGGGTTTTATTTTCCAGTATCGTCTACAATCAATTAGTAATAGTATATTTGTTATATTTTAGGCTAAGTAACACGATGGCCAAAGGAACTGATCATGAGATGAGGAATCTTTCATCTCCAGCTTCACAATCCCTCAATGATGAAAGTAAGTGGTATGTCCCTGGATTTCTGTTGGTTTTATTTAATAGAACTTTTATACACACGGTGTGAAATACAGTAGTTTATATAAAAATATTTATGTAACTTGTTTAAGAAACCTCATATAAATTAAATATTGACCAGAGAAGAAAAATAATTCAAACTACAGGGATTAAACAAGTGACTCATCATATAGATAAATTTATTTGAGAATTAGTTTCCATTTACTGTGTTTGTAAAGATTAGGGTTTTTTGTTTCTGTATTTATTTATAGTTGGTTTATACATCCCCACATCTAAAAAATAGTGATTCTGGGCAGTAAACACATAATTAAAGTCAGTAAAACAAAAGGAATAAGTAACAGGAATTGTAAGCATAGACACAATTACAGCACAGTGGCACCCAAAGGCAATCAGAATCCAGCCACACTTACGTGAGAAAGCTGCAATGATGACATTACCCAACCTACAGGACCCAATATCCAGGTTTTCAAGGCTTTACAAAACACCAACAGGGTTGAGTATTACCACTATTAATCTCACATTTCTTTCTAGAAGGTACCGGTATTATCCCATAGTATTTAATTTTCAAAATTACTATCTAAGCAAATAAGTAAGCCCATTGGCTGTTTCTGAACCATAAAATTAACAAAAAACAGCATGGGGATATCAGCAATTTAATACTAAAATATGATCTTGTTCCCAATTCCCTATTTAGTATTTTTATTTGGTACCTACTTGTATCTAAGTATAGTGCTATATGTTTTCTCATCCTGTGAGATAGGTAAACAATTATTGTGTTCTATATTTAATTAAATTTAATTTTAGTTCCTGATACTTATTAGGCAGGACAAATTAAAGAATCCCATGATTTTAGAGTGAACTGGTAGAGAAATTAATAAATTAAAATCGGTAAGCCCATTTCATTTTCTAAAAAGAAAGAGCAAATACAACTCATGCACTTAAGAGTCTTAGCAAAGAAAATTCATCCATCAAATTACTGTCCTAAAGTCCTTTGTATCCCAGATATATTTAGTTCAGTGTTGTAATACACATATTTACTTGTATTGAAGCATATCAAATTCTTATTCACTAACCAATTTTACTCATAGTTGCACCAAAGTAATGAATGTATATAAATATTAAAGATGGACAGATTTTTGTATTTGTCTTTTAAACAGTACCTTTAGTTCGTTCAGAGTAGCTAAAAAGAATGATGTTTGTGAACTATTTTGAATTTATTTTCTTGGCTGATGGAGTGAAATTGAATGCACAATTCATTTTCAAGGTAACAATGTTGCTATTTCAGTATTCAGAAACTATAACCTATTAGTATACTTACTGATAGCCTTCATCTTGTGATCACTATTTTCCTTTTCTCATGCTACCAAATGATTTTATATATTACTCCTGTTTTATGCAAAAGTAGTATTTCCTTCTCCATAATGCTATTTAACACCTTGGCTTTTGGGTACCTAAAGTATCATCATTTTTATTTCTAACCTCTAAATTCCTACAAATCCTTCTTAATTATTTTTTAATAAATTCCTGCAAATCCTTCTTAATTATTTTTTAAGACTTTGATACTTTGTTTTGTTTCATTTTGTCTTACTCATTTATTTTAAGTGACCAAATTTACACTGGCCTTTTTTTATTATTCAATTATGTCTGATTCTCTGAGACTGCCTGGACAAGTACTTACAGTTTTCTAGCACGGGGTTTCATAAGTGGCTTGCCATTGCTTCCTTCCTATGGTGGAGAGAAAGTGACTATCCCAAGGCTACTCAACTGACTTCATGGCCAAGGTGGACTAGAATGCATGGTCCCTTAGTTTCTAGCCAGATGCCTTCACCACTACACCAAATTGTATTGGTGTATATATAAGTGCAAATAATATTTGTTATTCCACTTTAAATGTGTTTTTTCTGGTTTGTTGCTTCAGTTTATTCTATAAACTGTTACTCATAACAAGATAGCAAGTTTTAATTTTAAAAAAAATTCCCTCACATAATGAAAAAAGGGAGCTATGGTGGCTCAGCAGACTAATTAACATCCACTTACATCTGCTGCCTGCAATTACTGCAAGTTCAAATCTCACCAAGCTCAAAGTTTACTCAGCCTTCCATCCTTTCTAAAATAGGTAAAATCAGGACCCAGATTATGGGGGCAATAAGATGACTTTGTATAAATATACAAAAGTATGAAGGCTATTGCTTAATGCATTGTAAGCCGCCCTGAGTCTCCGGAGAAGGGCGGCATATAAACCAATTTTTTTTTTAAAAATGGATAAAAATTAACCATAGTTATGCTCTCTTTTCATGCAATTTGGCATTATTCTTCAGAATATAACTTATTTTTCCTGTCTTAGCAATCAGGCTAAATGTTTAAAACATATATAAAGCAAGGTAATAAACTAAGATGTGATTCTTCTCCCTAAGTGGAAGAAAACTGCCCCCTGCAACAGCTTAGTTACATTTAACAATTGGACACAGTAGGTATGTTAAATAGGTAGTACAAATTCTAATATTTTGCTATTTAAAATTAACATTTCCTTATTTCTGTATGAATATTCTATAAAAGTATAGCTTTGGTGCATTATATTAAAAGTAAGGTAATGTTTTTCTTCTAGAATATTGATTTTGTGGTAATTTGAAACCCAATAAATGTGGGTGGTTCCATTGCCAAGCAGTTAAGGGCTACATTTTCAGGAGTATTAACTTTGCCTATAAAGAAATAGGAGCACTTTTAAAACAAATGGCTGTTTATACACATTGACATTTGCCTTAAACATTATTCTTAAAAATAACGAGTATCATCCAATTTGCAATCAGTTCCAGTTCCAAAATGAGTAGTAATAAATGCAGATCTGTTTGTCCTAAAAAAAAATTTAATTGAGGCTTCTTCACTGAGGAGATTTAATCTCATGGCCTAAATTTATGATTTTAAGTTTACAGTAAGTTATTTCTATCTATAATCTCTTCAAGAGTTAATTATGCTGTCATCAAACAAATGTAGCAAATGAAATGAAGAACCTCCTAGTAAAAGGTAAATTATAAGGAAGCATATGTTAGTTACCAAAATTATTCAGTGACAATCAGTCTGCAGAATGAAAATATCTACTGTATAGCATTAAAACATCAATAATATATAACATTTTTAATAACTGTTTCAGCTGCTTTTTCCCCTCCCACCTCTCCTCACTATGGAAATAATGATTTCTGCATAAATATAGAGAGCATTCAGCCAATAGTTGTTGTCCATTTGGCCAGGTTTGAATATTCTTAATGATATACGTTTAAGTAAGAACCTTTAAACATCATGGAGAACATAATCTTTTATATGCATAATGCATTTCTGAGGGCTTACTGTCTCATTTACATCTGGAGGGCAGTGATATTACACTAAGTCATAATGTCAGAATAAAACAATTTAATGCAGCATTATCTTTCCTAAGATAAGTACATAAATACTTTTTGTAAATAACATATAAATATATTTTGAATACACTTCCCTATCTAAGACCACAGATAGTTCTTGCTTAATGACTGTTGCATAGTAACTATTCAAAATTATGACAGGGCCACCTAAAAGCTACTTATGACACTGTTCCAAAGTTCTGATGGCTAGACACATCATTTTTCAGGTACTTGGCAGCTAGCTCACCTTTATGGATGATTGCAGCATTCCATGATCATGTGAGTATGATTTATGACATTTTTTTTTTTGCCAGTTTCCAGCCTTATTTGGCTGGTTTCCAATAAAAAATGTCCATAGGGATACACTAATTTGTATTTAGTCACTTGTTAATGACTACCATATTCACTTAACCATGGTGTTTGTTTAACAAGTGGAGCAAAAAAAATAATAATCAAAAAATCAGGTTCAGTCTGTGCATACAGTCTGTGGATTGATTTATGATGGATATTCTGGGTTCCACTATACTCATAAATGAAGGACTATCTGTGTATTTTTTTGCCAAAGAAAAGCAGAGAAAATAAGGGAGAAGGAACTCACCCCTTATTTGTTTGTATTAGGATGTAATCTGATATCTACAACTATTCAGGAATACTATATATATAATTTTAGTATGTAGTCTAAACTAACTTAGACGCCAAAGAATCTAGTCTAATTGTTATATCATCCTATCCGACAGGAATTTTGGGTAACTTGAAAACCTGCACATATTTAGCTAGAGGGTCCTAAACTATCTATCTATCTATCTATCTATCTATCTATCTATCTATCTATCTATCTATCTTACTGTCTCTCTCTCTCTCTCTCTCTCTCTTTCTTTCTCTTTCCTTCCATCCATCCATCCATTCATCCTTACAAGAAATTACACCATTGGAATAAAAACATCCATACCTAGAGTAGTAACAGTCTTCCTAATATTGCTTTTTGATTTCAGGTACCACAGGAAGTGAGGAACCCAGCAAATGCTTGCTTGCAGTTTCTGAGAGTGACGTTGATTCAGCAACATCACTTGCCTTAGAAATGAAATATGCATTGGATCCCAACCGACAAATCAAGAAGAGAAACAAAGCCCTACAGGTGAGATTCAAAGACATCTGCGAGGCTCAGAATGAGCAAAGGGAAAAACAACTCTCTTTGTTACAGCAGACTGACCAAAAGGAAGCAAAACCCATCTCTTACAGAGCAGCTTACCGAAAATACATGACAGTGCCTGCCCGAAGATCAATCCCTAATGTTACTAAAAGTACAGGAGTTCAGACTTCGCCTGAACTTAAAAAGTGTTACCAGACCTTCCCTTTGGACCGGAAAAAGGGAAATGTAATCAAAAGCATAGCTTCAGTTGACACTTTTCCAAGTCAAAACAACGGATTCCTAATTGATGTTAAAGAGAAAGACAGCAAAATCTCAGGAGAGGCTGTTCAGTGCAGCAAGAAAGTCACTGGATTTGTGACAGCTGAATTTATTTCACATACTAATGAACGCATGAACGCAATAGAGCTGCTTTCTAAGGACAACTGTTTGGAGACATGTATAAGCACTGATTTGCACAGCTGTAGTAAAGAACCTCCTTCTCTACAGGACTCAGCAGCTTCAGTTTTAGAAGAGCCTGATTACCAGCTGCATGACAAAGCAAAACACCACACTGGGCCATTGAGGTATGAGGAAGCTAATCCAGCCAGCCAAGGAAAAGTGTTCAAGACCGAAGTAGCTTCTGTCTACTTGCCCGCATCTGGTTCACACACCTCACTGGCTGACCAGCAACATTCGGCAGCAACAGGGAACGACTGGTCCCTGTGTCCAGCCGAGGAGGAGGACAGAAAAAGAACTCTGCATCTTAATGGTCTGCAGTCACAAGCTGTAAGTACAGCTCAGGCCTGTCCCACGCAGGCACAGTGTACCCAATGTAACGAACAGACCCTTCAGGTAAATGTTTCACCTATGGAAGGAAAACAGCCTTGTCAGACAGCAGTTGCTGTGAGTGAAGGATGTCAACAAATTGTGCCTCACACTGAAGTGGTAGATTTGAAAGCACAGCTACAGATGATGGAGAATCTGATCAGCTCCAGTCAGGAAACCATAAAGGTCTTGTTGGGTGTTATTCAGGAGTTGGAAAAGGGAGAAGCTCATAGAGAAGGGTAAGTTGATTTTTATTAAATTTTATTTTATTTTATTTTTTTGGATATGTGCAAGAATCTCATTGGGGGGGGGGGAATCATTTGCATGAATTCTGCTGAACAATTTACATGTTTCTGTTTATTCAGAAGGTGTTAGAATTGCTCAAAAAGCATGTGCAACATATGTGTCACCTTTCTTTATTAATATGGATTACTTTAATGAATAATTATTCCTGACTTGCAGTACTTGAAAATTATAATTTAGCATCTAACTCCACAGTAATGTATTAATGCTTTAGATGACCTTTCTATTTCATTGTGTCTCTAATGATCTTATAATATATAGTACTGCTTTCAAAGAATATTAAAATTAAAATATATTGCTTATATATATTTGTCATAAAACAAAGGGTCATGTTAAAGCTAATAATATCTGCTATATGATTACCCAAGAACTCTTTCATTAATTATTTAAAAACAGAATAGACTAGGAGGCAACAGAAAACATTATTTAGAATGCTGAAACTGCCCACAAGAAAAGCATTAGTTTATAAAAATGAAGTACAGAATATATTGTTCTGCGTTCTATAATTTTTTTTAAAGCATTGCTCACAAGATACTTAACAAGCACAGCTATTTACTAAGACTTCTATAATTACATCTTTATTTGATAATTGCAACTTCTGTTCTTTGGCATCTCACTTACCCTTCTAAAAGATATAATGCCTGTATTTCCTAGTTAATTCAGTGATTGTATTCTAACAAATGCAACTTTCTGTCTCCAACTTCCTGTTTTGTGTAGCTCATGCTTCCCCCCACTTCAGTAAATGTTCCCTCTTTCATTCCTTTCATCATACCAAAATTACTAATATGTGTCTTTTTCATTTGTGGCTTTAGAAGTTGCTTTCACCCAAAACAAGCTACTGATTAATTAAAGATGCAATAATTATAAACATGGTAATTGTTCTATGTAATAATTTTGCTTAGCCAAAATGATTTACAGCACTTATTTAAATTTAAACTATATCTATGTCACAAGGACACGCTATACATTTCAAGTACAGCAGAATGGTTTTCAATGTTTGTAGATTTAACTGATCATTTATTTTGTGCATGCTCTTTGACATCTAATGGCATAATTCATCCCTTTAACTATGTGTATTGAAACTCTTTAAGCTTTTCATATCTGTATTTCCATTATATCATGGCATTAATGTTTTGTTGACTCAGAAAGTCTGAATGTGGGAGGAAATACAAGTATGGCACTGAAGAGGCTCTGTGGCTTGTGACTATCAAAGCAACAGACCTTAATGTTGACCTACTAGCAGAGATCCTATGGCTGATGATTTAGATTGATTTAGCGATTTAAATTACAAACATGCAAAGTTAAAAGGTTTTGTGTGCATATTTTTTCAGGAAGTAATCAGGAAACTACTGATGGCAACAGTACAACCCAGTTGGCATATATAAATAAGGATTTAGGGCTTCCTTCTTTTCTCTTCCTGATGGAATTTAAACAGTGAAGTCTTAAAACTAACTTGTAAAAAGAACTAAGATTCAGAATACACAGTTTAACATATAAAATGTAGCCTAACCAGACTTATTCTCTAATAGTACTTCAATTAGCAGTTTCTACTTCTCCTTAAAGATGCTTGTAGTGAGGAAAACATTATTTGACATGTTAGTTTATTGGTTGTTGTTATTCTGATGCAAAAGACCAATTCCTTTTGCATCAGACCCATTGCAAACTATCATTTAAAAAAAAGTTTTAGTACCCTGTTTCCCTGAAAATAAGACCTCCCCGATAATAAGCCCAATCAGGCTTCTGAGCGTATGTACTAAAATAAGCCTTCCCCAAAAATATTTAACCGCATGCGCAGCCAGTCCCCACCATTTCCTCTGGTTGCTTGCTGTACAAACAACACGAGGTGAGGCGAGGCTGGAGGGGGGAAGGGAGGGGGGAACATGCCCCACGCTCCCCACATGCCTTTACCTAATGGCCGCTCCCGCAACCCTAGCTACTGCACCCCTTCTGTCACGCTAATGGCCACCGCAAAAGCCATTAGTGAAGAACAGGGAGGCAGCAGCAGCAACGGGACCTCCGGTTGCAGCGGCGTGGTCAGGCCGACAGCATGGTACAGAGTCCTGGGAAGCAAGGCTGGAAGCGCATGCACGGCCTCAGGCAAACAGCTGACAAGCAGTTGTGTCAGCAGCTGCCATGAGGTGACCACGTTCGTTGCCTCCTGTACCTCAAAAATAATAAGACCTTTCCAAAAATAAGGCCAAGCGCTTATTTCGAGGGTCAAAAGAAAATAAGACCCTGTCTTATTTTTGGGGAAACAGTATATTCCTGGAAAGGATGGAACTATATCCTTTGCCCCATTGGGGGAAAAGGGGGATATTTATTTATAACTCACTGTAGTATACAAATTTGAGGGGAAATGTCATTGAGATTCAGAATGCAGACCAGGGCTCTAGAAACATAAAAACACTAGAACAGATAAACAGGAATACCAATGATTCATAACCACGAAGCATTATGTATCGTCAGAGGTTCATAAATGTTTTCACCATTCATAGCTATGACTAGGCTGCTCATGAATAGTGGTTTAGAGTTCTTTTTTTTCCTTTCAGCATAGAGAAGAACAAAGACCTACTTCCCTTGTTTAGACTTAAATGATATTCAGAAACCAGGAAGTCTTAAAAGTAATTGCAGGCTCTCACATAGTTAGTTTTGAATATATTTGCTTATATCTCAAATAAAGTGAACAAATTTACATATTATACAGAGAGAGAGAGAAAGCAGCAACAACAACAAAAACAACAAATTGGTATAAATGTCAATAGTTTTTAATTGACATTAATTATAAAAAAAACATTAAAATGACTGTGGAAACTAAAACATGTAGGCTCTTTTAAAAAATATTTACACTTGTATACATTTTATACCTATTTAAATAGTTACATGAATCTCTTATGTGATATATAGTATTATGCATTCATCTCAGCAAGGACACATTGATTACTCACTTTCCTGATGAGAAGCATCTTATTTAGAGATTGCTGAAAAACCAGACTCTAGTAGATGCTTGTGAACACTAGAGTATGAGTGGGCAAATACTCTAATTTAATAGCATCTATGTCTGACATGAACTAAAACATTCTAAACTCAATAGATGAGTTATATACTGCAGATGTAAATGTGGCCATATAGTTAAAATAAATTAAACTATATATACTTTAGCCTAGAAGCTTCTACTCAAACCTATTCCTGATTATCATAAACTTTGATTATAAATTGAATTGGTTTGCCTGTAGAAGATGACCAACCACTAAAATGACTTTAATAAAATCTTGCATTTTTCCTTCCCAGAATATATAGCCACAGCCTCTTTTTCAACACATTTTATATTCCTATACCTAAAACATTAGAAGAAGAAATTGCAGGCAGCCAATGGTTTACGGTTTAATTCATTTCGTTCTTTTGCTTAAATGAACAAAAATAAATTTCTTCAACATTTTATGTTACTATAGCATTTTTACACTAGAAGAACTTATTGTGATTTTTCTAATTTCAAAACTATTTCAGTATCTAGGTACTTTTGAAAAGATAAGAATTTTAGGAGAATCAAATCATATGGAAAAGAATAAATTGGCTGAGAACAGTATTAAACAAAATCTCTCTTTGAAAGTAATAAGACTTAACCTTTGTTGTTTTAAAAATACTTTTATTAATATATGATTTGTTACAAATATAGGCTCTATTTCTAATAAAGAAAAAGATAACTTTGAAACTAAAAGATTTAAATATTATGAAATGTAATGCAACAGAGAAAAATATAATTCCTGCTACTAAACACAGTCATAATAAAGCCTGCATAGGCTTCTGAAAGGATTATTTAGTAACAGCAATTTATGTATTTATTGGATTTAAATCCTAACTTTCTTACTTAGCTTGCATTACCACTTCTAGATAATGTATGTAATCAGGATTTTAAATTCATCAGAATCCATTTAAAAAAATAGAAATTGAATTCAATATTTAAAAAGTCTGAAACTAACCTTAGTTAGTTTAATTCTTAGTTTAATTCTTAGGGAATCAATAATATTATTATAAAAATGGTACTATATACCAAAGATAAGCAGTGCTTACCACTATAAATAGACAATGAAAAACAACAAAATGCAGCCAATTTGTCTTCTCTTTTCACTCTAGACCATATTTTTCCTCTTCGTATGGTTTTCAGTGTTCACTCAAAATAAAATAAACAATGAATAATCCAGATCATCACTGATGCTGGATCCTGACTTGCTTTTTTCTCATGGGCCTATCTATTTATTTATTTAAAATACTTTTTTTTTTTTTGCAGACCTTAGAATGAATGCTGATAACTTGGTTGTTTTCATTGACAATGCTGTTTCAATAGAATAAGGGTAGACAATCAGCTTGTATGTGTATTAATATCATTTATTTAATGAGACTCCATTAATATATGCTGAAATAATAACATTTGTAGATAAGGAAGGAGAGAGGGTTTAATGTGCTATATCACTTTCAAATTCTAATAAATTTTCAAGTCTAATTAAAAGTCTTACGGTTTCCTTATTAAGACTCTATATGGCTTGGTTCCTTTTTATTTTTAGGATTGTCTCTTCCAATACAATCAACCCATTCAATGAAATATTCATGAGAGATCAGGGGTGCAGACCAGTAAGTTGCAATTATGGAATATCTCGGTGATGTTAGCTTGGTCCTTGATGGTATTTCAAAAGGCTTTGAAGACTTGTCTTCTTTTAAATACTAGTTATTCAGTCAGTTTACCACTTTAATTTTGTTCTTTTACTGGCTTTGGATAATGTTTATGCTGGTGCTATTCATATATCTAATCTATAATATCATTAATATATAATATGATATATATGTGTGTGTGTGTGTATTTATATGTATATGTATGTATGTGTATATATATGTGTGTGTGTGTGTGTGTGTATGTGTATATATATATATAATAGTCACAGTTTTAAGGAAGCTCAAAGGGGACTTTTAAAATATTTTTTCTTCTAAATTTCAAGTTGATTTGATTGGTTAGTAAATCTATTTCTTAGTAAATAATAATTAGAAAGTAATAATAATATACTAAATTTATATGTTCTGCAACTCCCATGATTCTGGGATGTATAGAATATATACTTTGGGCCAGTGGTTTTTTTTACTACCGGTTCTGTGGGCGTGGCTTGATGGGCATGGTGTGGTTTGGTGGGTGTGGCAGGGGAAGGATACTGCAAAATCCCCATTCCCTCCCCACTCCTGGGGGAAGGATATTGCAAAATCTCCATTCCCATTCCACTCTGGGGCCAGCCAGAGGTGGTATTTGCCTGTTCTCCGAACTACTCAAAATTTCCGATACCAATTCTCCAGAACCTGCTGGATTTTACTCCTGCTTTGGGCAATATATAGTATATAAGTGTATGCTGTAAATAAATATCAAACACCATCAAATACAGTTTTTTCCTTCATTTTTTTATAAACTAACCTTGTGAAAGCAAACATATCTTATTTCATCTATTGTAAACAGCAAGAATAAAATTGAAAGAGAAATATACTTTTTTTTTTTTTAAAAAAAAGAAAGCTAACCAATATATTATTTACAGTAACCAGGCCTCCTTTTTTTGAAATCCAGTCTATAACTAGCAAAATAATAGGGAGATAAACCAGAAACCCTATCATATATGAAAGCTCTCATGCAGAGGAAAACATATTTTGAAGTGCTCTGTAATTCAGATGAATCCTAGTTTTAAATGTATTGTCATATTTAATATATCAGTTGGCTTCTGTCAGAAAGTAAGTCTCTTTTCAGGAAACTAAATAAGCCATTCCTTTCAAACTTTCAAATTCTTTCCATACTTATTACACCTATTATCTGATTAAATATTAAATCTGTTTGATCTCTGTTCCAGGGCAATAAACTCAACCTTTGATTTTTATTTTGAGTTGGGAAGGGTGCATGTGACATAATTTAAAATCATTCTCTAATTCTACATCTTAAACTCAGAGAAAAATGTTCGCAACACAATTATGCAATTACAAGTACACTTAATCTTGCATTTTCCATTACATATCTGAAACGTTACGCTTCTTAAAAGAACAGCTATTAACTGTAACAATTAACTGATCAGCTATTAACACTTTTGTCCCAGTCAGTATTTCTCTTCTACATAAATTATGTACAGCAAAATATCTGTGAAAAACGTTACATAGGTCTACAAAAATCAGATTTCTGCTTTTTGCTGTCCCATTTCCCCCTGCAAAATCCAGCTGGATTTTGAATCCTAATCCTACATAATTTTTTCACATGTATTTTTTCACAGATATTGTTCCAAGGGGAAAAACTTTATGTCGAAATCGGACCTTGACTATGTAATGAAAGCTTCTTCTCATTTGTTGAGACTTGACCCATTAAAGTAAGTCTTCTACTATCAGTGCTTTCGGACTGTTATAAATAATAAATTATTTCATCCTAGTTCACGTATTAGAAATAATAAGAAAAGTCCATTATGTATAAGAGAACTAGCAATATAAGACTGTCTTAAACAACTAAGGGAAAATATAAAACTGAATACAACTACTGTTAGAAAATCAAAGAAAGTAAACGGATTGCTGAATTTTGCACAAAATTCAATACAATACAGAATGCTCTAGTTATAATTCACTGAAAAATGACATAGTAATATTGCTAAATTATACACTTGTTGCCTTTTGCACAACTTTACTGAACCAGGAAGAACCCCATTTGGATATTAAGGTATAACATGCACAGGGAACAATAGTATACTCCTGGATATATCATACAGCATGGACTGATTGTACTTGTCCGTGTTTTCAGTTGATTGTGACAGCTAGACTCATGGATATGGGTAGCCCATCAAATCTCAGTAAATTGTTCCTTGTTTTTAGCCAGAATCTATCCTATAACATTGTTTGTCTATTCATTCTGGTAATTCGGATAGAGAGAGGGGGAATTATTTCCTGAAAAATCCTGAAAGGCATCCAAAAGAAAAAAACGCTTCTTCAAAAAATAGAAACTGGGAGATGAAAGCTACAAGCTGACGTATATTTAATGAATATTTATTATACTTCAATAAGAAGTAGCGAATGTAGGTTACATTGTTTTTATTTTTTTTCTCCTTCCTTTGCTTTCACCCATTTTTGCATTTAATTAGATAAAGATACATATAAAGAACATACTTTTTAACATACTAAAGTCAAGACTTCTTTTTCACAATTACAGCTTGGCTGTAATTCTGTAGATGTGTTTTTAATAGATTTTTCATGAATGTTTTAAAGTTTCTTAGAGCTTGAAACAATTCACCATTCTAGACAGTAAATACTGCAAGTATATTTTGACATATTGTTGTCAAGATATAACTACCATAGAAGTCAATTTTCTGTTGACTTTTGCCTGCAATGGCTGCTTGTTTGACTGTTCTTTCAGTTATGCTGTCTCTTTTATTTTTATCACGAACCTTTGTCCTAGGAGTTTATTTCTCATGGGAAAAAAGCAGAACTTTTTTAAAAAAAATGTTATTGTTTCAAAACAAAAATGTTAAGAACAGATCTTCCCAAAAAACATTTATTATCCTTGTACTATTAAAAAGATTATTGGAAGTTTTAGAGGCTTTAATGAACTAGTTAAAACTAGCACATGTCTCAGAATTGTTTTCTCCCTTTATATTTAAACCATGAAATCATTCAGTTCTGTATATCAGTCTGAAAATCTGAGTATCAGCTTGCCTAACTTAAGCCAAGCTATTCTGGAATTCCATTATTTTATATTATGGTTTGGTTCTTGTTTTTTTCCCCTTGTGCAATCGCTCTGCTGAACACCTAATTCCCACAGTACTCTCTTATTTACTGTCTTTAAGTATATTTACTCGTAGGCTATGGCTGTAGTATTAATATTATCCTTCTCTACTATTTCCTCTTATTGGTATCATTATTATGATTATTATTACTCTGTTATTTTGCATGTACACTGAGCTTCTGCACTGGAGACAAATTTCTTGTAGGTCTAATTATACTTGGCCCAAATGAAATATTCGAATAATGTACTGTATATTTGTCTTAAAGTAAAGAACAATCTCTTTCATTTTATGAAACCATGGTTTTAAATAATTGTCCTGTACCTTGTAAATTACATTAGCTAGCACTATCTGGGAGTAAGGTTTGTATAAAGCATAATGTTTAGTTTGCCAAGAGTGTTTTGAACAAAAATAGCTATCAAGCAATAAGTAGCTTGGGTCAACTGAGCATTTTTTGAACAGAACTTTAAAGACCATTGTTTCTGCCGCATTAGTTCAATTACACATTGATTACTAGGATTATGCAGTTTTCAGAAGGAGTAAAAATGGTTCATAACATGCATGGGCACATATCAACAACTCCTTATACCCACACTATCTTTTCCTAAAAACTACAGCCATATCGTTGCAGTTAAACATGAAAATATTTTAATTAATTGCTGATAGATGCTACATGAGCACATGTGTACCCTAAAACATCTTTGTTCCTTCAGTGTTCATGTTTGTTCAAACCAAATCTACATCACCATATGTTTACTGTGAGACAAAAATGGACTCCTTGACAGGATACAAGTGTAATAAATATACTATATACTCATGAATAGATCTGAGAACAAGTACTTCTAGCAGGAAAGCAAGATAGAAAATTGTTCCATGAAATTAATGAAGTAGTTAGGAACTACAAGTCAGGTTCCATAAACTTGCCATCTTCATATACATTTATTTATTATTGTTTCAAATGAAAACTCAAACTTTATATATTTCCAGATCTGATTAATGTTTACGGTCCATGGCCTTCTTTGCAACCATCTTCAAAATTCATAATTTGAGAGTTCCTACTTTGTTTCTCTAATTCTGTGATGGCGAACCTATGGCATGCGTGCCACTGGTGGCATGCAGAGCCCTCTCTGCAGGCATGCCAGCCGTCGCCCTAGCCCACCTCCACTGTGCATGTGTGTGTACCTCTTGGCGGCTAGTTGGTCGAGTCTCTGCCGTGCATGTGCGAGACACATGAGATGCACATGTGCATACATGGGGCGTATGCACGGGGGCACTCGCATTGCATTTTGGGAGTTCAAGTGTACCCCCTATGCCCCGTTTTGGGCCTGGAAGGCCTCCTGCACCAACCTGGAAGCCAGAACGGGATGGGGGGCAGGGCACATGCGCAGGGGATGTACACACATGCTTTGGGTGGGGCACATGCACAGGGGTGCTCACATTGCACTTTGGGGGTCCGGGCACACACGTGTGCATTTGCACTTGTGTGCACGCGCTTTGGGCACTCGGCATCAAAAAGGTTAAACATCACTGCTCTAATTCTTTCTCAGTGTCCAGCTTTCATAGCCATACATTACCATTAGAAAGCCTTAAATATTTTGATCTTTATCTTTATTCTTCATGCTCTTGTTTAAGCCCTCCTCCCTAGAATTAATTTCCTCTTTACTTCTCCCACACAAACTTCATCTTTACCCATGAACCCAAGAAAACAGTATTATAGCAGAGATTTTTGTGGGGGTTTTGCTCATATATCTCTTAACTTTTTAAAGAACAACATTTTAACTATTGTGTGAGGAGCTGGGGACTCACTATAAAAATGTGATCTAAGGTTTAATATATCATTATTTTCACCTCATCTTGTTTTTAAATCTGCTTGTGTATCCCCCTCCCATTTTTCAGTTGTAATTTACACCATGGCATAACTCACATTTAACATTTGATGGCATAACTGAAGATGTATATACCTATCTTACATAATTTGATGTTTTTCTATAAACATAATCATCTAGTTAGGAATTTGAAATTTTCATTTGGAATTGAAATAAATGTATGTTTGTTCTTTATTTCTCTGCAAGTATAATCCCGTGAAGTATAGAACACTGGCTTTATGTTCTTAACAAGAAGTCTGTCCCCAGAATTCCTCAAGGAAAAAAATGTAATTTCCAAAATTTAGAGAAATTTGACTAGTGAAACAACCATTGGCAACATGGTACTTTGAATGCAGAGCAGGTTTTTTTTCCCTAGTCATATAAAGTATGTTTAACCTTGGTAGGAAAAAAATACTGATTTTTAGTTTATATACAGTATCTGATGGCTATGTTGCCATTGTAAATTCTGATATCAGAGTAGAGATCTGTGGTATACCATAAATATCTGAACAAACCTGGTATCTTTTAATTTCAGATTGAAGGTCATATGGGCCACTAGATGGCGAAAATAAAGCATAAACCAAAGAAATTATTACTGTAATGAGAATTCACTGAACTTCTCTTAAATGAGACACTGCAAAACTATTGTGGGTTTTGTTCTTAATCATTTGGAATACTGATTAATTATTGGGATATGTAAACAGAATACATTTGTATAGAGAATACACTTAGCCAAAAGTAAAGGTCTTCTATTTCCTTTTGTTTCATTTTGTAATGGAAGAAGTAATCACTGAGCCAAAATAGAAATAGAAACCACTGTGTAATTAATGCTGAGAAGAGCTTGGTCAGAGATGAACATCAATGTAAAATTTTTCTATCATATAGTTCAAATATTTGTGTCTAAAATTATTGGAACTTACAGATAGTTCTCGGCTTACAACCATTCGTTTAGTGACCATTTAAAATTACAACAGCAATGAAAAAAGTGACTAATGACAGGTTTTCACACTTACGACCATTGCAGCATCTCCATGGACACATTATCAAAATTCAGATGCTTGGCAACCAATTCATATTTATGATGGTTACAGTGTCTTGGGATCATGTGATCACTATTGCGACCTTCAGACGAGCAAAGTCAATCGGGAAGCCACTTTACAAGCATATTACTAATTTAACAACATTTAACAACTGTGGCCAGAAAGATCATAAAATGGGGCAAAACCCACTTAACAATTGTCTCGGTTAACAACATAAATTTTGGGCTTAATTGTGGTTTGAAATCAAGGATTATCTGTACCTATTTTTGAAACTGGACTTGCTCCAAAATAGCTTCACCCTAAGGAATAGATCTGATAGCTGAAGCACCCAAACTAAATTCTCACCTTCAGAAATGTCAAAATAAATTTAATGAATTTGTGGGGGGAGGGAGACAAAAGAATCAGGACATCTTTAAATATATCTTAACCAGAAAACCCGGTAGAGAAGTGGTTAGACATTTAGTCAACAAAAGAATTCTAAAAATGTTCAAGGTGGATATAGAGGCAAGAGAAAAAGTGAATAAATTGTACACAGAACACTTTATTACGAAAGAGATAGACAGATCCAGCAAATATAACTTTGCCTTACCCCTCATCAAAGGTTCTTAAGTAAACTTAGCAGTCTTGAGACAAGAGAACCTGTTTTATGGATTAATTGATTAAAACAGAAAGAAAAAGAAAAGAGAAATATCCTGAA